GGGACCGATACAAGGCAAAAATGCACTCCCTTCCCATAATAGATGAACCCTTCAGTAGGGTGGCGGTCGATATAATTGGACCCCTAGCGAAACCCAATCCTTCCGGGAAAAAGTATATTTTAACGGTGGTAGACTACTATCCCGAGGCAGTGGCCCTAGCTAATATCCATGCGGAGACCATAGTGGACACCCTGATCCGGATATTCTCCCGAATGGGGTTTCCCAAGGAGATTATCTCGGATCGGGGTACCCAATTCACAGCAGAGGTCACTCACCAGTTGTGGAAAACATGTGGGGTGAAACGTTCCGCGTATCACCCCCAGTCCAATGGGCTCTGTAAACGCTTTAACGGAACATTAAAACAAATGCTCCGTATGTTCATGGATACCCAGAAAGACTGTGAAAGGTTTCTTCCCCATCTGCTCTTCACCTACCGAGAGGTACCCCAGGAGTCCACAGGGTTCTCTCCGTTCGAATTACTATTCGGAAGGAGGGTGCGGTGTCCTTTGGACCTCATCAGGGAACACTTGGAGGGAACCGTCACCAGTAATGGTACCCCTATAGTCCCATATGTGCTAGAGTTCAGGGAGCGCTTGGAGACCTTAATCCAGACGGTACGGTCCAATCTCCAGGCGGCCCAACAACGACAGTGCAGGTGGTACAATAGGGGAGCCAGGGACCGCAGTTTTCAAGTGGGACAAAAGGTACTAATATTGAAGCCTGTCCAAAATGACAAACTGCAGGCCTCCTGGCAGGGCCCCTATAAGGTGGTGGAACAAGTATGTGACACCACCTATATAATTGGCCCATGTACTGGAGCAGGCGGTAAACGCATGCTCCATGTCAATATGTTAAAACCGTATCACCAACGGGCCGAAGAAGTAAATGCCATCTGTGCCTCGGCCGCAGAGGACCCAGACAATTTACCTCTACCGGACCTACTAGAAAAAGGGGGGCCAGAAGCAGAATTAGGGGAAGTACAGCTAGGAGACAGGCTGAGCCCTAGAGAACGGGCTCAGATACTAGAGCTGATTAGAGAGAAAGGGGATACCTTTTCCAATCAGCCCGGATATACCCCGCTGGCCACCCACAGGGTAGAAACCCTCTTCGTCAAACCCCCTACCGCATGGGCCTCTCCGGTAGTGCTGGTGCCGAAGCGGGACGGGACCACCCGCTTCTGCGTAGACTACCGGAAGCTTAATGACAAGACTATCTCAGATGCCTACCCTATGCCCCGAATCGACGAGCTCCTAGATAAAATGGCCGGGGCCAGTACCTCACCACAATAGACTTGTGCAAGGGGTACTGGCAGATACCACTAGCTGAGGATGCCATCCCAAAGTCCGCATTCGTCACCCCGTTTGGGCTATACCAATTTAAGGTGATGCCCTTCGGGATGAAGAATGCTCCGGCTACCTTTAAAAAGGATCGTAGATCGGTTACTGGACGGATCCCAGGAGTATGCCTGCGCCTACTTAGATGATATAGCGATATTTAGCAACTCCTGGGACGAGCATTTAACCCATATAGGGGCTATCCTCGATCGCATCAGGGAGGCAGGTCTAACAATGAAACCCAGCAAATGCCATGTAGGAATGGCTGAAGTGCAATACTTAGGCCACAGGGTAGGAAGTGGGCAGCAAAAACCAGAACCTGCCAAGATAGAGGCCGTAGCTAAATGGCCGACCCCTCGCACGAAAACCCAGGTCCTAGCTTTTCTAGGGATCGCCGGCTATTACCGTAAATTTGTGCCCAATTATAGTGCCCTAGCAAAAGCCCCTTACCGACCTCACCAAGAAGAACCTGCCCAAAATAGTTACCTGGAGCCCAGAGTGTGAGCAGGCATTCCAAGAACTGCCCTAATTCATGCACCTGTACTTGCCGCTCCCGATCCAACTAAACGCTTTCTCGTTCATACAGATGCTTCTATGTTTGGATTGGGAGCAGTGCTGAGCCAGGTTGGGGCCGATGGCGGCGAACATCCAGTCACTTACTTGAGCCGGAAACTACTACCCAGGGAAGTAAGCTATGCCACCATCGAGAAGGAATGCCTGTTGGTGGTGTGGGCCCTCAAGAAACTGCAGCCCTATTTATATGGACAACAATTTGCCCTGCTCACAGATCACAACCCGTTGGTGGGGCTAAACCGGGTGTCCGGTAGACAACGCTAGAATGTTATGCTGGAGCTTGGCGCTACAGCCCTTTGATTTCACCATCCAGTATCACCCGGGGAAACAAAATGGTAACGCCGACGGGTTGTCACGACAGACAGAGCTGGAAAAATTATCTGTGAGCACTCTCCCGGACATCCCCAAGCCGATCCGTTGGGATCAGACTGTGTATGCCGGCTTGGTTCTGGGGGAGCGTTGTGGCAAACCCTGCCACTAAAATACTAACTGTTCTGTGCGAATGAACACTGGAGTTATTATAAGCGAATGTGTGCAAAGGCAGAGACTCAATTCACGAACGGACTATACTGTTATTCATGCGGTTATTTATGCGAATGCCCTGAAACTACCGAACGAGAGACCACCCCGGGGTGGTCGTGTGTCTCCTATTAACCAAAGATACAATGTTGCGAAGTGTATTAAGTGCGAGTGTGTGTGGCCGCCATTTCGCCTACCGAACACGTGGCGGCGGCCATCTTACGCACGAACAGCGGTACTTGGTCGTCGAACGCCTGGAACTCAAACCGGGCATTCGACTAACCAAGTACCGCTAAGACCTCCAGCACGCTCAAAAATCACGAAGCAAACACACAAACACCTCGGCATTCGGTATGTGTAATCCCACGAACGAGGGGATTCATTCGAACGGTAAAAGAAGCCTGGATGCCTCAGCCGTTCGGGACTTTTGATTCACTAGAAAAGACCAACCGCAGGGCCAGAATTCATGGAACTGTTTTTGGCTACTGAGCCCGTGTGGTCGGTCAAATCTTTCATTGGCTGTAACTCCCGAACCCCTGGTCCGATCTTGGTGAATTTTGAGTATGTTGCTCACCCAAATCAGGGCTACCAGGGGACCCGTTATTTAACCCTGTATCCCCTGTATTTAGGGGACATCCACAAGTTGGGGAAAACTCTGTAAATATTAATCTGGTTAATTGTTAATCTAAGGGGAGGAGAGGGACCACGATATGATTGGGTACTGTAGTAATTATGAAAGTTACCTCCCTTGCATTGGAGAAATGCATAAAAGCAGACCTGTGAATAAAGCTGACAGTTGACTCCCAGACTATTTGTCGTCTAGTCCTTGGGGAGGTGGGTTATGCTGTGTTCCAGTGATTTTGTATGCTGAATATTTGTTCCCAGCGGAGAGTTATTGGATTAACCCCTGCTACTCCGCTACAGCGTAGTCTACCACTGTTCTGGAGCCTTGTTTGATGCGTAATAAGGCTCTCCCAGGCATGTCAAACGTTCTCCGAAACTATGATAGGAAATCAGTGTAGGTGATGTTGGGACCTGATTCCCATATCAGGTTAGCCCAGGCCAAGGCCCTGCCAGAGAGATGGTTAATGACAAAGGCTATTTTTTACCTGTCAGTAGAAAAGGAGTGTGGGTTCATAACCATGTGTATATCAGCCTGGTTCAGAAACCCACGACAAAGGGCAGGATCACCATTATACCTTTGGGGTGGTGTCATGTGTACCGTGTGAGAGGAACCATCTTGTACAGGTATGCCGGTGGATTGGCTTGTTGTGCCAACGGTTGGAGGTGAGCGGTGTGCTGCAGAATAGGCTGCAACGCCTGGGCAAACTGATCCAAGCGGTGGTCTTGCTCCTCCAGCTTGGAATTCTGAGCAGCTAACTGCTGCGAGATGTCTGCTGGGTCCATTTGGCCCTGTTGTAATGTAACGTTCACTAGGGAACCCTAACTTGCAGACAGGACAGAGTAGAGAAATACCCTGCACTCCACTTCCACCAAGGGGGTGCTCTGTATGTAGGATGGACACCGCTGAATCCACCAATGTAGTATCAAAGAAGAGAAACACAGGCAGCTGTCCAGGATATAGAAGGTAAATTTATTCGTGGGTTCACCACCTCACCACCTCATCGTGATTAAGGCTCTGAGGAGCCAAAACGTTGCACTTATTCTGTTGAGGTGGTGAACCCATGAATAAATTTACCTTCTATATCCTGGAGTGCTGCCTGTGATACACTCACTCACTGACAGGCAGACAGACAGACACACACACACACACACACACACAGACACTTACTGACATACACTCAATAACTGACAGACACACAAACACTTACTGACAGACATACACTCACTGACAGACAAATACACACAGACACGGACTGACAGACATACACACACACACAGAGACAGACACTCTCTGACATACATACACTCAATCACTGACAGAAAAAGACACATACAGGCAGACACTCACTGACAGACGCACACACAGGCAGACACTCACTGACAGACACACACAGGCAGACACTTACTGACATATATACACTCATTCAGTGGCACACTCACTGACAGACACACACACACAGGCAGACACTCACTGACATACATACACTCACTCAGTGGCAGACACACACACAGACACTCACTGACAGAGACACACTCATTGACAGTCAAACACTCACACACTCACTGACACACAGACTCACACAATTGTATTTTTTGAGGCCCATCCAACCTCCCTACCTTCCTGGGGTCCAGTGATGCAGCACCTCACTCCTCCAGCGCACTGTTTAGTATCATGGGGCCGGAATGACATCATATTCCGGCTACCGATATCACAAAGGGCGCACGAGGGAGGAGTGAGAGGCTGCCAGAACAGCCTCCCTTGCCGCCTGCCTTCTCCATCCCCGTCACTGGCATTTGTTGGCAGAGCAGGCACCTGCCATCAAGGTGCCTGCTCTGCCTTACCTAGCATTGCTTCGGGGATGCCCTGAGGTGGCCGAGACAGGGCTCGTCTCGGCGCCCCCATCTTTGGGCGCCTTGAGGATCGGCCCGGTGTTGGGGACGGCTCAAGAACTGCTCGCCCAGCCCTGCAGCCCCAGACAGGGGCAGGCTGTCCACCAGGAAATATTCTGGTGGGTGCCCCCAGCAGGCCGGCGCCCTATGCGAATGCCTAGTCTAACGGTTGTGCTGGCCCTTGCTGTAATATGAAACTATACATCTTCTCTTTAAGATCAGTAATTAGGCTAATTAGGTTATTTATTTCAACTAAAAAAACACACACAAAATTATACACTTTAACTGAAAGATTTCCTTTTTATTTTTATGAATAAGTTACAATTATAATATAAGAACCACCTCCATTTTCATATGTTACAGTTCCTCCAGATATTTATCTTATGTATACTCCACAAATGCAATGCTTCTTTGTCTATTTGTTTAAGAACTATCTCATTATCTTCAGACCAAGATCAAACTATAGTTTACCCATGGGGGCTTTTGTGTACATTAAAACTCAATTTATTTATTTTTTTAAATGGAAATTAACATATAAAATGACACAAAAAGATCAAAATCCATTTTTTTAAAGATAGATTCCAGAGAAGATTATTACATAATAGATTAGCTATTGCAATCCTCATTGCTTTGTTATATATTTATCATGTAAATTTACTTTATTAAAAAAAAATCACACATTTTCTTTTTCTCTAAATTTCTAACCCAATAGTAACTACGTAACATTACTTATTTTGTTACACGGTTCAAAAATGTGTAATTCCCTCTCTCGTTTCTTTTTTTTTTTTTTTTTACTAAAACATGAATATGTAGAAGCCGGTGTTCCATTTAAATAATTACCTAATGGCGTTATTAGTTAAAATCCTGGATTCAGTTACATAAGATGCCTGAGAATTACTAAATATCCCCACCTGAACAAACATCATTGAAAACATATTCCCCTCCCTCTGACGAAGATGAGAAAATGAACATGGAGGTCCATTTGGCTTTGCGCCAGCCAATAGTGTAATTGTTTATCAAAAGAAAAATATTGTTTTACTTATTGCAATGTAATACATTTGTAATGTATTTTCCTTTCAGTTTAATCTGGATAAGATATTAATTAGTATAAAATTACTCCTGAGAAATTTGCCCACAGTTCCTAAACGTAATGTTTCTATAGCAGTCTAGTTACTATCTTCTGCTAAATGTGAAGCCTTGACATTCCACAGTTGGGCATTGCCCAACATTTTGTTTTAACTTCCTATCAAGCTAAGCTGAATGCACTTCAAGCTTTTAACATTCTTTTTGTCAGTTTTACAACTAAAGCCAAATATATTTTGCATTGCTCTTGTCCATTATATAGATGTGCGCATACTAATGTGGACAGTGAGCAATCATTCTCTTAACTATGCTTTAATTTTTTCTTCCTCTTACCATTTATATACTGCTACACATCTATACCCTCTGACACATTAAAGGACATTCCAAAGCCAACACTATTAATTCTCTAAGGATTCAGGATCAATCATAGCAAATGACATCAACAGGCACGTGGCCAAATGTCCTATTTAAGTCTTGAAACCGTTCCACAAGATAAAAATATCTAAATGCTATTTAATTGCTCAGACATTGACAATATTCCAGCTATTTCCAGTGTATGTACTGTTGCTCATCACTTAAAATGCATATGCATGTGTATGTGAAGATGATGATATGCATGGTTATACTGTAATACCATTTAGAATGCAAACCTACATACATTCTTAGGACAAAGGAACAACCTCCTTAAGAAAAGAGGTTACTGTCATCTTATACAAAAAGGGACATTCTTCAACAATGGTTTTAACTTTGAGATGTAACATTTAACCCAACCTTTTCTGTCAATATTTTTACAAAATCTGACCCATAAACAATTAACAATGTGCTCATTCAGAACAGTCTATAAATGCCCAACTGTCTGATACATAATTTAGTAAATAGAAAATAGCATGACTAGCATGAATAGCAAATTGTTGTTAATTGTCGGAGGGACTTAGAAACACTTGATAACGTTTACATTTTTGTGGGACAATCTACTGTGTCCTTTGTGATAAATAACTAAAGAACACAAGATATTTTATAAAATGTAAAACTAAAGTTTCTGGAAAATGTATATAAAATAACAGAATAAAAAAAGAAAAGTTATAAAATCTGATCACAACTCAAAGGCTCCATTCTTTGACTCTTACGTGTACTGGGAAGAATCTTTATGAATATTAAAGATGCTTTAAAACATATTTAGATGGACATTATTAACTATAGTGAGGCAGAGTACGCCAGTTTAATTGTTATCGTATGGGTCTTGTGTGCTACACATTAGTCCCTACCCTCTGTGGAATAGAGAACTGGCATAGTTTCTATCACAGGAGTGAAAAACTGCCTAGTTATCAACACACAAGGCATCTTTAGTGTGTCCAAATGTAGTTACAAAGAACACAGTGTTGCTTTAGCTATCACAAGTACATGTGACTGAATAGGAGTTTTGGTAACAAAAACCTGGCATTTGAGAATTAATATGGAGGGAATATGCAAATTGATCCACAGGACTAACACAAATGATTTCACAATTTTAACTACACATAAATGTAAAATTGGTGAGTTCTTCATCACTGTACATTCTTCTGACAAGGATTCCTTGATTTGACTACACTGGGTGACTTAAAACTAATAGTGACTTAAGAGACATGGACACATTCTAAGACTAAAAGTTATTTGTTTTGCCTTTTTTTTTAAATTTAATTTGTGTGCAAATCCCTGGTATATACTGGTATGCAAATTCGAAACATCACATGATTACCTACTTTTAGCCTATGACCACATGTGCACAATCAGAGAATCTTGGGAAATAATGCTCAGTAAATACAGAAAAGTAGATCTTTTAAAAACCATGACCCTACCAATCGCCCCTATCAACCAGAAGCTCAATGTAAAGAAGTGTGTTTGATATTTACTTCCACTGCATTCTACATTCTAGCAAATGTCTCGCTTTTTATTTACTGGGGTGGGAATTGTTGTGAACTCTAATATGCCACCATTTGCTACATCTACTTTTATCCTGGTTTCCTTATTGATACAATATTTTACCAAGGTGTTTAAGCAAATCCAATAACCTATGGTATCATGATGATTCGGGCACACTGACAAGAAAGAGTTAGTATTCAATTTGTTACTTGGGTATGGTGGCTTACACTTATCAAAGAGAACAGAGAGACATGACTACTGTTTCAATGAGTAAAAGTGAAATGGGCATGCACTAAAATGGTAATGTTAGCAATGAATGAGCTTTATTTTTGTTCCCTTTATTATCATCACATTTTAAGCAATCCACAAGTTATGAACTCACTCCACATTTGCAACTGTTTATACGTTTGGACCAAATCATGTTATATTACTAGCAATTCGCACTATACAAACCTGTTAAGATCAAATGTATGTCCATTTACAGAAGGCTTGTACTTCATTTACACCACCATTTTGCACATTTGCACTCCCGTTACATCACAATGTACTATTTTATTGCCTCTATACTGATTTATGTCACACCTGCACACCATGTTTTCACAGCAGATTCACAGTTGGTGCCCCATATTTGCTAATGTTAATAATATTAAACCACTGTACAAATTAAAAAAAAAAATCTACTTCCGTACATTTAAGCATCTAAAGTTATAGTAGTGAATAAAATGTATAATCTATGTTATTTTGTATTTTGTTATGTCTAGACAATGTAACTCTACCTGTAGAAAATGAACCTCAATAGCACAGTCTGTGTATTAAACCAGTACCTGAAAACAGTACATAGAGTAACTTGCGAGGAAATATTTGAAGAAAATGTTACACAGGCGTATATATGCTAGAGGAGGTTAAAAAAAGCTAGGTTGTGTTTAAAACTGCTCGACTGCAGAACAATGAATCAAGGACATGCTAGTTGGTTCATCTGCCATCACTATATTTACGCTTGTCTATGATTCTTTAGAAGGAACACTCCAAGAACACTATTTAATACATTGCAGTGGTGTTGCACTCACACAAATGTGAGTGATGAAACCATAATGAGTGAGTAATGAAACCAAAGAAAACTGTTTTACTTCTTACCTGAAACCAACCTCAGCAATAAGAACAATTGAAAGCACCTGTTTTGGGGCATCTACTAGCTACCCTGTGCTGGCTAAAAGCATCAGTGACATCAGGCATACCATTCTAAAGTGGTTTGGCTAATTATATTTGGGGGCCCCAGGGCATAAACAAACTAGAGTGGAGAGATTTGTTTTTTTCAGATGTGTTTAGGTAGGCCTAAAATATGCAACTTCCTTGTCCATTTTCCACAATTCCTAATTTAGTAAAATAAAAAACCCTATATCATCATGGCTATGCATTTACCTTATTGAATCTTATATTTCCATTGTATCTTTTGTATTCTTTCTTGTGGATCCCTGGTACAAACCAAACATTGTTACCAAACCAATTTTACTGCAAATTTTCAATTTATCTTTACATTTTATAAGTCATAAATAATGTTTTTCTCTGCACGAGTAATCGCCTACCAAATATGAAGTGAAACTACAAAAAATCATCCTTCCTTTGCTTTTTGCTACATAACATATATGTTGTAATATTATGGATTAAGTATAATAAAATGACTAAAATATATGAAGGCAATATTCTATATTTAGGATAATTAATTAAAAACTTCAAGCAAAATGGGAAGCAAAAATCCTTAAGTGTCTTGGCTGTTTTGTAATTTTAACAAATACTATATCAGACCAGCAGTCAGTTTTGTGTAATTGTCCATTAAAACAGACAATTTATAAATTAGAAAATCTTTTTCTTTCATAGAGTCATTTTTCAAATAGAGACTAAAACACTATTTGAAATAATTAATGAGAAATTCAATTTCACACACTAAAAGGATTTTACATCATCTTATAAAATTGTGCTTGCCCTGGCAGTTTTCATTGCTATGAAATCTATATTTGTCTTTGTTTATTTAAATCCCTGTCCTATATTGCCAGAAAAAAAGCCATTTCACAATGACTCACTGGAAACATTTCTGACTTTGTTAGATAGGCTGTTATCGAATGATGGTTTAAAGAGGTAATGGCTTATTTTTTCCTATGGCAGATCAATGTCCAATTTAATATATATATATATATATATATATATATATATATACACCTACATTTTTTACAGATTCATTTTTCAAAGTAGATTGGAAGTTACATCTTTTTTTTTTTTTTTATGAGATGTGAGATCTGTAATGTTCCTGATAAGCATATTCGGTGGCCAAGAGAAACCATTATTGCATATATGATAGAAGTGCATGGTTGAACTGATACTCAAACATATTATGTAATTCTCTCAGTGACTGACAGTACAAAAATTCACACTCCAGTTCTCCATGTCATAAATTTCCTGTAGTGTTTTCTGCAATAGGACAAGGTCATCATAATGCAATAACAATTTAATATACGGGGGGAAAAATTGAATAGGTACTTAAAAGTAGATTTTTTTTTTCTTTTATAACAGTGGCATAATGTCACGGCACTAAGAATTTAATGCTATCTACATGGAACAGTGTCATTTATATACTGACTGGTACTGAAGACACTGAGCTTGCTCTGGATTCCCGTGTTTTAAAATTGGGCATAGTAATGGTACAACAAGAGACTCCCACGGTAGCCTCCGGCAATTCGTCTTCCTCAGTCCATTCATTGAGATCAGGACTATAGCTTTGAATGCATTTCTTGTATTTCTTTTCCACTTCATTCCAGCCTCCTGCAATATATATCTTTCCATTGAGTGTTGAAGCACCAGCTGTACTCACTCCATTCTGAAGAGGGGCTACATAGCTCCACTGACCTGTGTGAGGGTTGTAACACTCAACTGGAAGTACGTCAACTCTCTCGCCCCGACCACCAAGTTGGCTACCACCCATCACATACACTCTGTCGCCAAGTGATACAGAACAATGCCATCCTCTGGGTGTACTGAGACTTTGCTTATCTTGCCAGCTATCATTAGATGGGTCGTACATACACACAGAGCGAGAATATGCATTATTTATGTATCCACCTGTGACCAAAATTTTACCATCAATTACTGAGCTGGAATGACAGCACCTTGCCACTTCCAGTGGAGCTTTTACTTGCCACTGGTTAGTTGAAGGCACATAACACTCAATGGAGGCTAAACACCCATCAGTATTGCGACCTCCAATTGCATAAAGAAGGCCACTGAATACATTCAAGCTAAAGTGGGTACGTTTCTGGTTCATATTTGCAAGATGAAGCCATGTGTTGAAACGAGGGTCATATCTAAAAAAAAAACACAAAGAAATCATGAGGAATTAAAGAACTCTCATTCAAAGCAAACAAAGTTGGTGAAGTCATTTGTTTCCAAAGAGATGGAAACGTTTACCTTCAACTTGTTATGCTTATTTATAAAGAGGTACTTGTGAGAAAGTTCTAAACAAGGAAAAATACATTGGTTTCCACAGTGACTACTCAGTTTATAATACTTCCTGCACAGCTGAGGTCTATGAAAAAAATCCCCATTGTATTTTACATAATAGAAAGTAGGACAAAATTTGTGAAAGAAAGTCATTTTGTTGTTGAAATACTTAATAAGTAAATCTAATAATTTAGTGCCAAGATATGTAACTATGATATGATAAAAACATTTAAATACATAAAGGGAATCAACACGGTAAAGGAGGAGACTATATTTAAAGAAGAAAAACTACCACAACAAGAGGACATAGTCTTAAATTAGAGGGGCAAAGGTTTAAACATAATATCAGGAAGTATTACTTTACTGAGATAGCCTTCCAGCTGAAGTGGTAGAGGTTAACACAGTAAAGGAGTTTAAGCATGTGTGGGATAGGCATAAGGCTAGCCTAACTATAAGATAAGGCCAGGGACTAATGAAAGTACACAACTCAAAAAAATAAAGGGAACACTTAAACAACACAATGTAACTCCAAGTCAATCACACTTCTGTGAAATCAAACTGTCCACTTAGGAAGCAACACAGAGTGACAATCAATTTCACATGCTGTTGTGCAAATGGGATAGACAACAGGTGGAAATTATAGGCAATTAGCAAGACACCCCCAATAAAGGAGTGGTTCTGCAGGTGGTGACCACAGACCACTTCTCAGTTCCTATGCTTCCTGGCTGATGTTTTGGTCACTTTTGAATGCTGGCGGTGCTTTCACTCTAGTGGTAGCATGAGACGGAGTCTACAACCCACACAAGTGGCTCAGGTAGTGCAGCTCATCCAGGATGGCACATCAATGCGAGCTGTGGCAAGAAGGTTTGCTGTGTCTGTCAGCGTAGTGTCCAGAGCATGGAGGCAGTACCATGGGACAGGCCAGTACATCAGGATACGTGGAGGAGGCCGTAGGAGGGCAACAACCCAGCAGCAGGACCGCTACCTCTGCCTTTGTGCAAGGAGGAACAGGAGGAGCACTGCCAGAGCCCTGCAAAATGACCTCCAGCAGGCCACAAATGTGCATGTGTCTGCTCAAACGTTCAGAAACAGACTCCTTGAGGGTGGTATGAGGGCCCGATGGCAACAGGTGGGGGTTGTGCTTACAGCCCAACACCGTGCAGGACGTTTGGCATTTGCCAGAGAACACCAAGATTGGCAAATTCGCCACTGGCGCCCTGTGCTCTTCACAGATGAAAGCAGGTTCACACTGAGCACATGTGACAGACGTGACAGAGTCTGGAGACGCCGAGGAGAACGTTCTGCTGCAACATCCCAACACATACAGCACCCACACCCACACAGCACACTCAGCACCCACCCACACACAGCACCCACACACACATACAGCACACTCACACACATACACCACACACATACAGCACACACAGCACCCACCCACACACAGCTCACACACTCATACAGCAAACACACACATACAGCACCCACACACACAGCGCACACACACACACAGCACCCTCACACACATACACCACACACACAGTGCACACACACACAACACCTTCACACATACAGCACACACACACATACAGCACACACACATACAGCACACACACACAGCACCTTCACACATACAGCAACCACACACATACAGCACACACATACAGCACACACATACAGCACCCACACACATACAGCACCCTCACACACATACAGCACACACATACAGCACCTTCACACATACAGCACACAAACAAAGCACCCACACACACACAGCACCCACACACAGCACACACATACAGCACCCCCCCCCACACACACATACAGCACCCACACACACACACAGCACCCACACACACACACATAGCACCCTCACACACATACACCACACACATACAGCACACACACACATACAGCACCCACACACACAGCACACACATACAGCACACACATACAGCACCTTCACACATACAGCACCCACACAGCACCCACTCTCTCAGTCACTCTATGACCCTTATCTTTTCCTCTGCTCATGACTCTGACATCATGTTTAGATTTGTTTCCAGTATCTGATGTCTTCATTGTATTTTAGATTGCAGCATCAAATGTCATGTTTTTAATTTGATGTAAGGCTATTTTCCTAGTTTATCTTTTTCTCATTAATCCACAAAGGATCCTATATACTGCACATATTATATCTCTGCTATCAAGCTGCTTTGTCTTTGAGGGTTTTAGGTGTTTGCCTGTTGGGTTTTTTTGTTTTTTGTTTTGCATAGTTTAGGCTTATATATTTATAGTTGACTTGGGTTCTACCTAAGCAGCCTTGCAAATATTTATTCAAAACTTCTGGTGGTATATAGATGCCTTGTAGTAATTCTGTTGAATTAGTTCCTGCATTCTTTGCATCTATTCTTGCTTTGGCCCACTAAAGTTGTAACACAAGACTTCCAGCCAGACCCTGAGGACTCAGGCAAGGCCTAGACAGAACAGTGACAACAGTGAGAGTGAGGGGTGTGTATAGAAGTAAGTATTAAGGAGGTCTTAGAATAGTGGGTGGAGGTTTAGGGCAAAGAGGTATTGACAGTTTAAATAGGCATTTTGCAGGCCAAGCAACCATCTTAATTATCCAGATTGGTAACAGCTTCCGCCCTCACTACCATGTGGTTGTTTGTTGGTTGTTTCTTGTTTGTTTATCACAGCGTGGTGGTAGATGGCCCTTGCCAACCAGGGGTTGGACCAGTGATCCGTGGAAAGATGTATGATCCTAACCTTGGTTACAGGTATGAATAACATACGTACCCACCGAGCCAATGATCGGCTAGTGGTTAGCATTATGATAATGGAATGAATTAAATGATTGTGTTTGGTTGGAAAGGTGGTTCTCAGCGACATTCGAATTTTGCAGAGAAAGTTATATTATGTTAATATGTTATACAGTTGATGTTGAATATATATATATATATATATATATATATATATATATATATACTGCTCAAAAAAATAAGGGGAACACAAAAATAACACATCCTAGATCTGAAAAAAATTAAATATTCTTCTGAAATACTTTGTTCTTTACATAGTTGAATGAGCTGACAACAAACTCACACAAAAATAAAAAAATGGAAATCACATTTTTCAACCCATGGAGGTCTGGATTTGGAGTCACACTCAAAATTAAAGTAGAAAAACACACTACAGGCTGATCCAACTTTGATGTAATGTCCTTAAAATAAGTCAAAATGAGGCTCTGTCAGAGCCGGACTGGGGATACGAAGCAGCCCTGGAAAAAAATCTATGCCAGCCCCATAAGTCATTGTGCTCTGTAGGGTGTTTTTATATATATATATATATATAAATATATATAGGCAATTGAAATAGTTGGCTGCACTCTCGGATTTCCTGAAAATGTAACTTTTTATTGAGAAGATCAATGTTTCAGTCCCTCTTGTGGACTTTCGTCATGATCCTGATGCAAGTCCACAAGAGGGACTGAAACGTTGCTCTTCTCTTAAATATTTCAATAAAAGTAAAATTTTAAGGAAATCTGAGAGTGCAGCCAACTATTTCAATTGCCTATATATATACTGGATACTGGAGCCCTGGTGATGCAACAGTATATATATATATATATACACATTTAAAAAAAAAAAAATTTTATTGATACATTTCTTCTTCTAATTCAAAACATTAGTTCTTTTAGGGTAATTAAATTATACAGTAAAGCATACTCACACACAGACAGACAATCTTACTGATGCACACAAATAGGCTCATTGATAGACAATGACACACACAGACAAGGTTACTGGCACACACACAACTTTAGTACAGACAAACTCTGATACACACACACAAGCTTACTATAGACAAGCTCACTGTCACACACACGCTCACTACAGACAAGCTCACTGATGCGCACACACTCTCCCTACAGACAAGCCCATTGACACACACATGCTCCCTACAGAAGAGCTCATTAACACACAGATTCACTACAGACATGCTCACTACAGACAAGCTCACTGACACACATATGGTCACTACAGACAAGCTCACGGTCACACTCATGCTTACTACAGACAAGCTCACTGTACACACATGCTCACCACCGACAGACTCCGACACACCCATGCTCCTTACAGACAAGCTCACTAACACACACACATATGATCCCTACAGACAAGCTCACTGACACACATACAAGCTCACTCACTAGCAGGCACACACACACACACACACACACAAACTCACTAGCAGGCACACACACACCCAGAGGCTCCCTCACTAGCAGATGCGCACACACACACACACACAGAGGCAGGCAGTCACTGACACCCAGGCAGACAGCCACACACAGGCAGACAGTCACTGACACCCAGGCAGACAGCCACACACACACACACACACCGGCAGACAGTCACTAACACCGAGGCAAACACCCACACATACAAAGACAGGCAGACAGCCACACACTCACACACACAGGCAGACAGTCACACACACACACACACACACACACACACACAGACAGTCCGCACACACGGGCAGACAGTCACACACACACACACACAGACAGTCACACACAGGCAGACAGTCCCGCGCACACAGGCAGACAGTCACACACACACACACACACACACACACACAGGCAGACGCACACACACAGACAGTCACACACAGACAGTCTCACACAGACAGTCACACACTCCACACAGTCACACAGACAGTCACACACACACTCACACAGACGTCACACACACAGTCACACACAGACAGTCACACACACCCACACAGACAGTCACACACACAGAGTCACACACAGTCACACACTCACACAGACGGTCACACACAGACGGTCACGCACAGTCACACACAGACAGTCACACACTCACACAGTCACTCACACACAGTCAGCACACACAGTCACAGTCACACACACACACAGACAGTCACACACTCACACAGACAGTCACACACAGACAGTCACACACTCACACAGACAGTCACACACTCACAGGCAGTCACACACAGGCAGTCACACACAGACGGTCACACACTCACACAGTCACACACAGTCACACACTCACACAGACAGTCACACACTCACACAGACAGTCACACACAGTCACACACAGACAGTCACACACACAGACAGTCACAAACTCACACAGACAGTCACACACTCACACACTGACCTGCTTCTTCCCTCCTGCTTGGAGCGCCTGGTGGCTGGTTGTTGGGGAGGCAGGAACTCCTTCCTGCTTCCCATGCTGCAGTCAGCCAGGCCCCCGCCACACGCTAGCTTCGCCCCCGCCGCAAGTAAGCCCCGCCCCCGCCACAAATTTATTTTTATTTTTCTCATCCCGGCCGGCCATGTGTGAGCTGTGCCGGCCGCCTGGCTCCCCCTGCTCCCATGGGGCTCTGTGCGGCCGCACAGCTCACACATAGCCGGCCGGGATAACAGGGCTGCACAGGAGCTGTCAGCCCAATGATCAGGGCTGTCAGACCGGCCCCAGGTGCCGCGGCCCACCAGGAAATTTCCTGGCATCCCGGTGGGCCAGTCCGGCCCTGGGCTCTATAGAGCGTGTAGCCTCCACGTGCCTGTATGACCTCCCTGGACTACTCCTGGACAGTCTGTGGTGCAACGTGACGTTGGTGGATGGAGCGAGACATGATGTCCCAGATGTGCTCAATAGGATTCAGGTCTGGGGAACGGGCAGGCCAGTCCATAGCATCAATGCCATCATCTTGCAGGAACTGCTGACACACTCCAGCCAAATGAGGTCTAGCATTAGGAGGAACCCAGGGCCAACCGCACCAGCATATGGTCTCACAAGAGGTCTGAGGATCTCATCACGGTACCTAATGGCAGTCAGGCTACCTCCGGCGAGCACACAGAGGGCTGTGCAGCCCCCCAAAGAAATGCTACCCCACACCATTACTGACCCACTGCCAAACCAGTCATGCAGGAGGTCGTTTCAGGCAGCAGAATGTTTTTAACGGCGTCTCCAGACTCTGTCACATGTGCTCAGTGTGAACCTGCTTTCATCTGTGAAGAGCAGAGGGCGCCAGTGGCGAATTTGACAATCTTGGTGTCCTCTGGCAAATGCCAAACGTCCTGCACGGTGTTGGGCTGTAAGCACAACCCCCACCTGTGGATGTCGGGCCCTCATACCACCCTCATGGAGTCTGTTTCTGACCGTTTGAGCAGAGACATGGAGGTCATTTTGCAGGGCTCTGGCAGTGCTTCTCCTGTTCCTCCTTGCACAATGGCGGAGGTAGCGGTCCTGCTGCTGGGTTGTTGTCCTCCTACAGCCTCCTCCACGTCTCCTGATGTACTGGCCTGTCTCCTGGTAGCGCCTCCATGCTCTGTACACTACACTGACAGACACAGCAAACCTTCTTGCCACAGCTCGCATTGATGCGCCATCCTGGATGAGCTGCACTACCTGAGCCACTTGTGTGGGTTGTAGATTCCGTCTCATGCTACCACTAGAGTGAAAGCGCCGCCAGCATTCAAAAGTGACCAAAACATCAGCCAGGAAGCATAGGAACTGAGAAGTGGTCTGTGGTCACCACCTGCAGAACCACTCCTTTATTGGGGGTGTCTTGTTAATTGCCTATAATTACCACCTGTTGTCTATCCCATTTGCACAACAGCATCTGAAATTGATTGTCACTAAGTGTTGCTTCCTAAGTGGACAGTTTGATTTCACAGAAGTGTGATTGACTTGGAGTTACATTGTGTTGTTTAAGTGTTCCCTTTATTTTTTTGAGCAGTGTATATATATATATATATATATATATATATATATATATATTTATATAAAATAAAGCTGTGGCCTAGTTTCACCAAGTAAGTTTGTGGTTTGGTTATTTCGGGAAGTAAAGGGATCGGTGGGGGGGTCAGTAAAGTGGTTCCCATTTTGATATGCCGATATACAATACCCTCTACCTACGCACATGTCCTATTTCCCTACAACATCTAAGACTCAAAAGAAGAGTCCCACTGTCTTATCAGAAATGGTATCTATATCTCTCACCTACTGACATATCACTTTGTAAATGGAAGCCCCTTAGTATTGTTTAAATCCCTATATATGTAATTAGTTAGACAACCTCAAGTAAAGTTATCAACATACAGATATTTATTGTAAAACATATTTCACAATGCAATGATATAGATTTTTTTGAGCCTGTGATAAACTTTTCATATTTTCAACTATACACAGTACCTGCAAAAATTGCTGACAGCATGTTTGGCCTGGTTCCTTGCATCATTCTGGTCTTCACCACCAGCAATGTAGAGAAATCCATCCATCACAGTTACGCACTGATTAAAGCTTTTTGCCGGCAGCTCAGCTAGCCTTTTCCAGCCACTATCAGGGTCTCTGTACATGATTTCCCTGCTGAGTGATTTCTCAGTTAAAGCTGGACGACCTCCAACAGTTACTAAGACCCTTGAACCTCCACGTATCTTTGTTCTTCTAGACTGCAGTGTGTTTTGATGATATGGAAGGAGATGATAGTTCATAGCTTCTACTAAAAGCCTATGGCATTCTGTATCTTGCATCATTCTGGGCACAGACTGGACATAGTTGACCAAGTCTTGGGCTGAAATGGTGCCAAATCGAATATTGCTTAAGAGACCGGAAGCATATTTTATTCTCTTTTCATCAAAGTCTAACCACTTCATTGCTATCTGGAAAGCAACGATTTCAGAGGGTAACTGCAAATCATCATCTATCAAAAGTTCATTAATTTGATCGAAGGTTAGCTTTGAGAATTGATCTGTATCAGAGAACTCGATAAAATTGTCTCTGATGAATTTCTGTGCTGACTCTTTTGTACTTTTAAGTCCATAGGTTTCTGCAATATTAGCCACATACATGCAATTCTCAACATTAATTTCTTGCATCAGAAAGTCACAACACATGTTAATAAGCGCATTTATCTGCAGGTAAATTGCAGAAGAAATGATGCTGCCTATCGTGTATAAAGAGAGGGTGATCTTTCCAGTGTAAGCATATGTTATGACAGTAGCTAAGCCTAAAGGCGACAAATCATTGAGATCAACTCTTTGTGTTGCTGGGTCTTTCTTCAAGATATTATAGAAGTATTCACTACAGGAAGCCATAATTACTCTGTGAGTCATAAAAGATTTTGTTTTGGTGCCAATGGTTAGGTCGCAAAGGAAACTATCTTGCCTCATTCTGCTCAGCCCTTCCATTAGGTTAATACCATAGGAAGAGTCAGAAACCTCAGTCGAGATGTAACTAAAGCCATTTCCACCATCAATGAAGCCACTAATACCATTGAGTTTACTGAGAGGACCATCTTCAACAATGATAGTCATTTCATTGATGTCAGTCTTGTTCTTCTTGACACTCTTCTTCTTTGGTGCCATGCTTATAATGTGATTATAAAATCACAGCCAAGATCGTTCTGTAAAAATAAACAAAAAAAATTCACAACTTTACAAACTATTATTATCTTTAAATCTTACATCTTAATCAAATATCTGGTGATATCTTGTAGATGAATAATGGTCTATATTAAAGACTAGCTTTAAATTATGTCCAGTTAAAGCACATAGAAAATTGTAAATATATTTACAGGTCTTAAAGATATATGCATTACCTGACTATTATTTTTTAAACCAAAATGAAAGGAAAATTTTGAAAAGCATGTAATAAGTATTTATAAATTTACAATAAACAGATCAGGTCAGATTGCATTACTAGGCACGCCTCTCATCTAAGGAGGTTTCAGCCTCCCTAAGCCCCTTTCTTTTACTCACACCTTTTTGAGGGAGTGCACGCATGCTAAGAATTTGCACACAGGTTTTTGCTGCTCCAAGGAACACCTGCCAGAAGGTCAGTCACAGGGGGCCCAGGAGATGGCCAGCTATCCATCTTAGGGCACCCATGAAGTAAAGTAAGAAATATGGTGAAAGGGCAAAGAATGAGAAATAATTTTGACCTTTTTTAGGATATACTGGTTCCTGCTCTCAGCTAAGAGCAACAGGGAGGGAAGTCTCCAATCCCAAAACAAAACAACATCTTTTTGTTTAAATGTATTTAAAAATGCATGGTAAAAGTTAATTTCTCTCCTCAACCAGGCAATAAAATGAATTAAAGAAATACAATGCATGATGGCATGTGTAATACTGTACATTGCTTTACATTAATGTAGTATTTGAAACATGATTATGAAAAGACTTAAAGAGAATATATTATTTCTTATATTACTATGCTGAACATGGATATAGTTGGTCTAGGTGTGGCTATGTAGGTTATGTATAGCACAGACATCTGTTCATTAATGTAAAATTAATAAAATAGTGTTTATAAAGAGCTTTATTATAATTACTAAAAATTAAAAACAATTTTCTAAAAATGTAGCATACAATATTACTTTGCTTCTATGCTACCAATAAAAACTTTTGGGGGAAAAAATATATGCCCATAAAAAAAAAGGATTTACTTTTTTTCTAATCCTTAATCATTTTGACTTTCATTTCAAAACAAAGTCAAAATGGCAGCCAGTATCTGAGCACTGCACCACAAACCCTGTCACTAATAAGAACAGCTCTAATATAGTTCATTTTAATTTAGTTTACCACATAAATTCCATTTAATTCCTACAGCTGCTACTGAATTACACAATAAATTATTCATTTACTACATTTAATGACTGAATTACTACTGTTAGTGAATTACATAATAAATCCATTAGTACAGCTAGCTTTCATTAAATTAAATAGTATTAAGTAGTAGTAAACACTCATTCATCAAGTGCTGTGTGTAAAATCTCAAAAATTTACCAGCTTGAACATTAAAGGGTTCCACGACAATATTTTATATAATATATTTTTTTCCACTCCACTTTGATTACCTTCCTTTATCCCAGGAGAGAGAAGTAAAGAGATTAGTGCTTATTTGCTGTAGTAAATAATGTGTTTATATAATAGGTCTTTGAAATACCAGGGAAAGAGAGAAATGGCTTCTGAAGGGTATCGATTTCCACATCCACTAGAACTGCCTCTCCTCCACAGACCATATTTATATTGATGCACCATTTTTGGGCAGAATTCCAAATTTCTAGGGGCTACTTTGTCTTATGTTCTTTTCCTATGCTTGACAATCTTGACAAGGCAAGCTCCACTAATTTTGTTAAGTTTGCGAAGCTCATCTTCACCTCCACCCTTTGTCAAGATAGTCAAGCATTGGAAAAATATATAAGACAAAGTAGTCCTTACTTTTTCTTATGTTAAACGATCAGAAATAAAGAAAAGAAGAAAAAAATCTGAAAGAGAAGAGATTGAGGTGACCTATAAATCATATGCCTTTGAAAGATTTATTATTTTAAAGGGATATTTTCTGTTGTGCAGCTCCCATTTATGGAGAGATACATAAGGATATCTTAATACCTTTTCCATAGCTGCATCAGCAGGTGATGTACAGTACATCCATCTCCGCGTCAGCTGTCAGCTAGCATATTACATTACCATTAATATGTCATAGCAGGGTAAGTCAGCTTTCATTCAAAGATTCACAAGAGAAAAGCAATGTTAAAGGGACATTCAACTGCTAAAAAAAATATAAAATAAATAAAGAATGCTTGTTTAGCACAGTCAGTGGTGGAACTAAAGTAGAAATGGCCCTGGTGCAAGATATTTTTTTGGGGTCTATTGCAAGTATAGACAAAAAGGTAGATCCCTGTCTGTTCTACAACTTGCCAGCTGGGGATTTAGCAATTGCCCATCCTTGCAGGGTTGTACTTGGCACACACTCTAACAAACATACAGATGCAAATACTAACACACATACAGATATTCAGGTACAGACATGCAGATACACATTCACAAACTAACACACATGCAAATACACAGACACACACACGCTGACACACATGTAGATACACAGACACACACTAACACACATACAAATACACAAACACACACCCTAATACACATACAGATACACAGATACAGACACACACGCTGACACTCATGCTGATACACAAACACACACAATGACAAACATGCAGATGCACAGACATACAGATACAGACACTGACACACAAATACACAGCGATACACATGGGCAAACATTGACACAAAGATACACATATATACATAGATACACATATAGACTCAGATAGATACACTGACAAGCATACAGACACACAGATAGATATAAAGATACACACTGACACACATACAGACACATAGATACAAATATACAGAGAGATACACAGGCACACATATAAACACAAAGATAGATACACAGACATATATACATACATACATACATACATGCAAAATGTAGACATTCTAAGCCACCCTCCTGTTTTCTACATTTGGGTGCAGGGGGGTGGCTTCCCTGGTATCCAGTCAGCTGGCTGAGGCTGTTAGGAGTCAGAGGCCCTCCCAATCCGCACCCTCTCATCTCTGCCTTTTCTTCCCTTCCACACAGCTCTGTGTTATCTGGGAGGCAGTGACCGCTGTCCGTTTCTCCCATGTTGTCAAAATTACAGAAGCCTTGTCATACTGTTACAGGGCCGCAGTGAATGTCTGGCCCTGAAAACAACTTGCCACCAGATGGCTCAACCTGCATGGGCCCTCTCAGCAGGCCCTGCTGCAGCCATACCCGCTAAATCGGCTATAATTTCGCAGCTGCCCCAGGTGCAAACATGCATGCATTTAATTATTTTCTCTGAGGGTATTCTAAAGACAGCTCTTGTCTGCAGCCTTTGTAAACCCTTCCCTTACCAAGTAGAGACTTTCTGTGGCTATCCAATCACAGACTTGACAAAGCAGCTCAATGAGAAGTCTTTGCACAAAATGCTGCCTCTTGAGTTTAGCTTCATTGAGCTAACCAAACCAGGAAGTAACAGGACTGGATGTCTGATTGACAATGAGGGTAGTTTAATAAGGTTAATTCATTAAAGTGCCAATTTCTCTTGAAATCTGCACTTTTTGTAAAATTAAAAAAGAGGGCATACTTTTCACACATAAAGCACTTCGGAATGCTGAAATGATTTAGGGATAAGGATTTTTTATTTAGGGTTAATTACTAACCTCCAAATGTTAACAAATGCAAACCACAAAACTGAGGCAGAAATAGCTGTATTGTGAGTATAGCTGAGTAGGAAGATGTTTTCCAATTAAGCTATTTGAGCCTCATCTTTGCAATTTAGATTTCATTCACTAAAATTGAGAACCCAGTCAATATCCTTGACTGAAATGTTAAAGTGCAAGCTAAATTTACTATTGAAAGAAAAGTTCATTTGCTTTATTTCAATTATGCCCAAAATGAAGATGGAGTAAGGGGACATTGCTTATCTGAAAATTTCGAATCTTATTAACAGTTTTCACTTACGCTATATCTATCAAATTAGTAATCTATTGGCCTAATATAATAAACATGCAGGCCTTATTAACTAAAGTGTGAATCCAAAGTTAATTTGAAATCTAAGATTAAAATAGCTGAAAAATAACTGAAAGAATATCTCTAACTCTCCTCTCTAGCCTATCCCGTCACCCCCTTTCCCAGGGCTCAGGAAAAAATTCAATCAATACAGTATTTATTTAAATAAAATCTTCATTACTAACTTGTTTTGCAATCAAATAATATATGTCACCCATTGGAAAAGAAAAAAATACAACAAAAGCAGTTATAGAGAAATACTGTTTGAAATGCACAGAAAACATAGAGGTTCACTGTGAGGAACAAACCGCTTCCTGTCAAATCAGGTAGAGGATACAGAAGATCCTCTACTGTGATCTGTGTGGCCATGCTACAAAATAGAGGTTAGTGCAGTAGGGGAGAGGAGGAAGAGATCACAAAATAGGCTGGGAGGGAAAAGACACAGAAAAGTGTCTGGGGTCAAAGACACACAGAGTGACTTGGGGGTAGAAAGAGAGACAGACTGACTGGGGGAAGAGACACACAAAGGGGCAAGGGTAAGTAAGAGACACACAAAGGGGCAGAAGAGAAAAAGATACACACAGGGAATTGTCACGAAACCTGTCCCTCAGGGCCCTGTGTGATCATGTCTCTTCTGTGTTCTGATGCACATGCACTCATCCCTAACTTTCTAGTTCCTCATTAGATCATATATGATATTGAACCCTATTGTTAGTCCCTTTTTATAATGTCAGTCTACGTGGCACTTTTTGACATCATAGTTCTCTGTAACCAATCATAACCCAGTATAGGGTAATGGTATAGGGTATATATCTGTCCTGGTTGTCCTTATTTCCTTGCCCTTTTGTGGTTTTAGTTTTCCAGAGAGTGTGTTTTTGTTTTGACTTTGGCTTGCCTGACTATACTTGCTCTCTGATACTGACATTGGCTTGTTTCTCGTTTCCGTGTTTCCATGTTATCCTTGACCTTGGCCAGTTTACATTTCTTCTCTTCTTGCAGACATTCTGATTTATATTCATGGGGATTTTAAGAGACTCATAATAGGGAGTAGGACACACAAATGTGAAAATGGGGAATAAGATACACTAAGGGGGTGTAGGACACAAAATATAGATACTGATACTGTTTATGTCTGATCCTGATGAAAGTCACTGCTGGGACTGAAACCTTGATCTTTTAATGGATACTCAATAAATTGTTATTTTTTTAATTCTTGAAAATCCGAGAGTGCTGATCACTATTTGAATTTTCCTGGATTACAAGCACCCGGTTACCAAATCATGCAAGCGTGAGTGCAAGGACTTTTCTATTTTTCTTTTATATATATATATATATATATATATATATATATATATATATATATATATATATATATATATATATATATATATATATATATATATATATATAGTACCAATGGGTACTGTACCAATCCTTAACAACACTTACTTGCCATGCTGTACAACTTTACTAGAATCATTTAACACAAAAAGACAGTGTTGTGTAAGAGCAAAATATGTATGCTCACATTGCACAACAGAAAACCTGTGTCACAAAAAACTTTTTGTGCTTAAAAGAATTATGAGAGTTTATAACGTCTAGTAAATTCATTCCAATATTGTATTCAGGAAATATTTAACTTCATATTACATATTTCAATTCTTAATCAAGAATACATATTGTACATTTGTATACAGTACTTAGAAATAACTACATCCTTAATGTGAAAAACTAGACAAATTATGTTCCCCAAAGACGACATCATATTATATAAATACACCTGACTGAGAGCCATAAGTATACATTGTTATGCTTGTTTTACAGTTCACAAAAGGGTGACACCTGCCATTCTTCATTCTTTTCTTCACCTGGTCTCAATGACATAATCAGCTGTAATGTGCTCTGTAAAGTTCCAGATTTAGTGGTGGGGACAACAGGAGACGCAGTTAGGAAGCACATTCAGGTTTATTGTGCACAAAAACATTACAGCTGATGAGAATCCCTGAAAAAATAGCAAGAGCCAACTGTGACCAGGTAAAAATTTTGTGGTATGGGCACTGAAGACCACAGTTCTTTTTGTATGTTTGATTTTTTGCATTACTGCTGGAACATCTTGCTGCGCTATCTCATGACTCACATTCCTCTAACTATAATTATTTATTTGTCCTTGGATTGGTTCCCTTCATGCAGGAGGTCTTAAAGGGACACTATAGGCACTATAGCCATTTCTTCTCATTTAATTGGTTATAGGGCCACGAGTCATCTGCCACTGTTCCTCCATTTAATGTGAAACTATTTCTGAGCAGTTTAGCACTAAACTAGAGTATGGCTGAGGCAAAGATTACATACTTATTTCTAGTCACATCAATCCCTATGAGCAATGGGCAATGTGACAGGCTGACAGAAGTCATGTGAATCTATTAGTCAATCACAGCCACCCATTGCTGCTCAGGCTAATGCTTCCTCATTTAACAAATTAAAAATAGTTTAAGGCAAATTGAAGGATTGCGAAAGGGGACCTTCTAGTTTGTAACAATTATAGCAGATGACTTGCCAATGGTTAAAATTGGTCTTTGACAATATCAGCAGTAAGAAATGTATTTTGGATTGGGGATGTGAAGGTTAGAGGTTTTGTTATAGCACGTTGTTTGCCATTTTAAGAGGCGGTGTAAAAAGACCTAAAGGGGCCATTAAAGCACATTAGCTTCTTGAAATGCTTTATGTGTGAGGAGGGCGCCTCTTTTTTCATTTTACAAAAAGAGTAGATTTCAAAAAAATATTGTATAAACTATTTAGTTTCTTCCACATTGTTTCCACGGTGGGGCTAAACTCAAGAGGCATCAATTATTGGGAAGTCTGTGATTGGACAGCCACAAGAAATCTAGACGGGGTTAGAAGGGGAGGGTTTGGAAAGGCAGCAGACAAGAGAACTGCAGCTTTTGCAAACAGTTTTTAGATATATCCAGTGGTGTACTAAAGGGGTGGTGGCCCACCCCGGGTGCCACTCACTAGGGGAGTGCCATGTATGTACGTAGTGGGGAATCGGGATGCAGCCTAGAACAAAAACTAACCCCATTCAACCCCCCAATAACGACAGACCACTTAGTATGGATGAAACAGGCCACAGCATTTATTATCACAAACTAAATTACTGCATAACACATCCATAACTTTATTTATTAAATCTCTTCTTTTTCTGTAACCAAAAATGTTAGACATAAATAAGCATTAATTAACATATATACATATATAACTCCACATGTAGTGGTATACAGTGAACCAACCGTCCTTGCCAATAAACATACAGTGGTTCCTAATTCCCACTTCCTCTCACCTCCCCCCCGTCATAAAAATCATATCTTTCCAATGCCTGCCATCAGCCGACCTTATCCACGCTCGATGGGCACGACACCTCAGGCAACCTAATGTTAACCGTTTGAAGCAGGGGAGGTTGAGACCTTAAAAACATGTTCATCTCATTCCATATACTTAAACGTAACCCCTCAAACTCAATTGGTAAGGACATACCCACGGCTAGCTGTGACTAAATATACTAAGAGGGCGGGCGGGATGGAAGCTGTTTGCTGGCCCGAATCCCAAGTGGCACTGAGGTAAGACCTCCCCCACACTAGCTTACACAGAACATAATCCCACCCACACACTCTTTCCCAACCAATCCCATGCATCTATCCCCACACTCCTACATGTGCCCTTGTCCGCTTAGCTGCGCTATCTCCCCAGGGCCTTGACTGACAGTATCATAAGTCACCCCCATCAATTCGTGCCTTTGCGGCCGCATCTGTGCCCGGCCACACTATACTGCACTGACTGCAGTAATATGGAGGAGCAAGGTAGGAGCTTTGCAACGTCGCACCGACGAGTGACGCTCCTGCCTGTCCGCCTTTTTTTATTAAGGGGGGGTGTACAGGGGGGGGTGTGCAGGATTTTTTTTTTAATTAAGGGGTGTGCAGGCTTTTTTAAGTAAGAGGGTGTGCAGGTTTTTTTTATTAAGGGGGGGTGTGCAGAATTTTTTTTTTTTTAATTAAGGGGGTGTGGAGGTTTTTTTTTTAAATTAAGGGAGTGTGCAGATTTTTTTAAATAAGGGGGTGTGCAGGTTTTTGTTAATTAAGGGTCTGTGCAGGTTTTTTTTAATTAAGTGGGGTGTGCATGGTTCTTTTTTAATTAAGGGGGATGTGCAGGGTTCTTTTTTTATTAAAGGGGTGTGCATGTTTTTTTTAATTAGAGGTGTGCAGGGGTTTTTAATTAAGGGATGTGCAGCTTTTTTTAATTAAGGGGGTGTGCAGTGTTTTTTTATTAAGGCGGTTGTGCATATTTTTTTTATTAAGGGGGTGTGCAGGATTTTTTTTAATTAAGGGGGTGTGCAGCTTTTTTTTAAGTAAGAGGGGTGTGCAGGTTTTTTTTTAAGTTAAGGGAGTGTGCAGATTTTTTTTTAATTAAGGGGTGTGCAGGTTCTTTTTAATTAAGAGGGCTGTGCAGTTTTTTTTTTTAATTAAGTGGGGTGTGCATGGTTCATTTTTAATTAAGGGGGATGTGCAGTTTTTTGTTTTTTTTTAATTAAAGGACCACTATAGTGCCAGGAAAACATACTCTAGAAGGGGGAAAGGGGTAAAAACTTACCTTTTTCCAGCGCTGGGCGGGGAGCTCTCCTCCTCCGATCCTCCTTCTCTCCTCCCCGTCGGCTGAATGCGCATGCGCGGCAAGAGCTGCGCGTGCATTCAGCTGGTCGCATAGGAAAGCATTATCAATGCTTTCCTATGGACGCTGGCGTGCTCTCACTGTGAAAATCAATGAGACAGCCGCTAGAGGGAATGGGGGAAGGCTTAACCCATTCATAAACATAGCAGTTTCTTTGAAACTGCTATGTTTATAAAAAAAAGGGTTAACCCTAGCTGGACCTGGCACCCAGACCACTTCATTAAGCTGAAGTGGTCTGGGTGCCTAGAGTGGTCCTTTAAGGGGGGTGTGCATTGTTTTTTTTATTAAAGGACCACTATAGGCACCCAGACCACTTCAGCTTTATGAAGTGGTCTGGGTGCCAGGTCCAGCTAGGGTTAACCCTTTTTGCAGTAAACATAGCAGTTTCAGAGAAACTGCTATGCTTACCTATGGGTTAATCCAGCCTCTAGTGCAGTGGTTCTCAAAACAGTCCTCATGACCCACCAACAGTCCAGGATTTCTGTATTTCCCTGTTTTATTCCAGTGGAGATACTAACAAAACCTGGACTGTTGGTGGGTCTTGAGGACTGGTTTGAGAACCACTGCTCTAGTGGCTGTCTCATTAACAGCCGCTAGAGGCGCTTCCGCGCTTCTCACTGTGATTTTCACAGTGAGAAGACGCCAGCGTCCATAGGAAAGCATTGAGAATGCTTTCCTATGAGATTGGCTGAATGCGCGAGCGGCTCTTGCCGCGCATGCGCATTAAGCCGATGACGAAGAAGAAGGAGGAGAGTCCCAGCGCCGGAAAAAAGTTAAGGGCTTAACCCCTTCCTCCCCCTTCAGTGCCACGGGAGTTGGACCCTGTGCATGTTTTTTTTAATTAGGGGGTGTGCAGGATTTTTTTTAATTTAGGGGATGTGCAGGGTTTTTTTAATTAAGGGGGTGTGCAGGGTTTATTTTTAAATTAAGGGGGTGCTGCAGGTTTTTTTTTTTATTAAGGGTGTGTGCAGGTTTTTTTTTTATTAAGCGGGATGTACAGGGTTTTTTTTAATTAAGGGGCAGTGCAGCTATTTTTTTAATAAGGGGGTGTGCATTTTTTTAATTAAGGGTGTGTGCAGGGTTTTTTAATTAAGTGAACTATGCAGGGTTGTTTTTTAATTAAGGGGGTGTGCAGGGTTCTTTTTTTATTAAGGGGGTGTGCATTTTTTTTAATTAGGGGGTGTGCAGGATTTTTTTTAATTTAGGGGCTGTGCAGGGGTTTTTTTATTAAGAGGGTGTGCAGGTTTTTTTTATTAAGAGGGTGTGCAGGTTTTTTTTTAATTAAGGGGGATGTGCAGGTTTTTTTAATTAAGGGGGTGTGCATTGTTTTTTATTAAGGGGGTGTGTGCAGTTTTGTTTTAATTAAGGGGGTGCAGGTTTTGTTTTATTAAGGGGGTGTGCATGGTTCTTTTTTAGTTAAGGGGTGTGCAGGTTTTTTTTATTAAGGGGGTGTGCAGGTTTTTTTTTATTAAGAGGGTGTGCAGGTTTTTTTAATTAAGGGGGATGTGCAGGTTTTTTTAATTAAGGGGGTGTGCATTGTTTTTTATTATGGGGTTGTGTGCAGTTTTGTTTTAATTAAGGGGGTGCGGGTTTTGTTTTATTAAGGGGGTGTGCATGGTTCTTTTTTAGTTAAGGGGTGTGCAGGTTTTTTTTATTAAGGGGCTGTGCAGGTTTTTTTTTAATTAAGGAGGATGTACAGGGTTTTTTTTAATTAAAGGGGGTGTGCAGGTTTTTTTTAATAAGGGTGTGTGCAGGTTTTTTTAAATTAAGGGATTGTGCAGGTTTTTTTAATTAAGGGGCTTTGCAGGTTTTTTTATTAAGGGGTGTGCATGTTTTTTTTTTAATTGGGGGTGTGCAGGATTTTTTTAATTAAGAGGATTGCAGAGTTTTTTTAAATTAATTAACTCTGTGTAGTGGGTGCAGGGTTTTTATATGAAGGGGGTGTAAATTTGATGTGTAGGGTGGGTGCAGTGTTTGTATGTGTGGAAATATTCTTGAAAACATTGGAAAAAATATGTGGGTGTGTTTTTACATTTTTAAAGGGGAGAGAGGGGGTAGGGGAAAACACATGGTCTGCCCTGGGTGCCAAATTCTCTAGGTATGCCCCTGGATATATCCCCAGAAAATGCATAATTAAAACATCTATTAAGTAGTGGTGTTGTTTTTTTTTTTATTTATGATGTGGAGTGTATCTTTAACCACAAATACTTAAGTGAATGCATCATTTAATTAGGATAGGAACACAAACATGAATTTCTGACACTACAGTGCTGGTGCTTTTGTTGCCTGCCAAACTCCGATCACTGGGGGGTACAAGTGAATTTTATCATGTTTCCACCCAATCTTGATGAACTCCCCAATTCAATGCTTTCCCGTAGGAAAGCATTGGGAAGCTATTGCGTATGCGTGACAAAATGGCATGCTGCACCAATCAGCATCTGCTCATGGAGATGCATTAACTCAAATGTGGGGATTGTTCAGTGCCTCCATGCAGCGTGTGGAGACACTGAATGTAGGTGCTGCACACTGTGCAGCACTAACACAGGAAGTACCTCTACTGGCTCTCTGAGTGACTGCCAATAGAAGTGTTACTAGGCACCAACGTAAGCACTCATTGTCTGAAAAGGCAGTGTTTACATTGAAAAGCCTGCAGGAACAGACTATAGACACCAGTACCACTACATTAAAGGTACACTAAAGTCACCCAGACCACATCATTTCATTAAAGTAGTCTGGGTGCAGTGTCCCAGTCCAACTAGGTTCTGCAATGTAAATCATTGCAGTTTTTTGAGAAACTGCAATAATTACATTGCAGGACTAAGACTGCCTCTAGTGGCGGTTAATCAAAGAGACATTAGAGTCACTTCCTGGTGGCTAAATGATTTTTGGTCACCTAACTGACACTGGATGTCCTCACGCTCTGCATGAGGACATTTGGGTCAATAAAAATTCCCATAGGAAAGCACTGAAGTTTCCTTTGGGGAGGGCCTAATGCACTTTAGCCCCTTATTATATCGGCACTGGAATTGTGTAAGTGATTAAAGCTTTTTTTAACCCTTTAGCTGCCAACTTGGGGTGGGGCGAGGGGGGCACGAAGAAGAAGAAGAACACTTACACTATAGACTCCCTTTCAGCTGTAGTTGTTCTGGTGACTATAGTGTCCCTTTGAGATTGTAATGTAAATACTATCTAGACAAATTACTAGAATTGGCATAGATGACAAACTTTGTATCTTCTCTAGGCTTGTTTCCAATATTGTCCAATATATCTCCTGCCAAGGCTACTCACAGGGTGAAGTACGCACGCTCAGGGTGAGCCTTTTCTTCAGGCAAAGTGTGATTGCTATTAAACAATGTTTGTTTCTGTACTTTATCAGCAAGCAGCTATTCTTCAAGTGGTCAAAAACATTTTAGCAGATGTTACTGGCTGTCAGTTGCTAAAAAATGCCACAAGATTAGAAACTCAGGTAATTAGTTAGTGACTATTGTTAATAGCAAGAGCTTACTGTGCCATATAACAACAAAGACAGAAACAAGCTCTGAGTATTTACTAGTATGCCAATGGCACAGCGATAAACACTACAAAAATGGCATCAAACAAATATGTCATTAACTGCACACTTTTGAGATATTACAGCATTTCAAATCACATTGCGTGCATTCACACATTAAGAATTGTGAAAAGGCACACACTGTCCTTCCATTTTTTTACGAACTGCATCTTGAAAGTGTAAGAGGCAGTTTGTTGGTTATTTTGTCAACAAAATAGATAAATTAAATGAATACCAACATGAAGGTGAACTTCGCATCTAGGTGACAGATTGACTTTCCTAAGTGCAGAAAAGTGCAGTCATGATAATGATAATTCAGTTCATGACCAAAACATGTTACGACCAAAAATGTTAAATCAATTATAATTGCATATGCAGTATGCAAGGATTGTCAAGCAGGGATTTACATTGTAGACCATTTCTGGTTTGAATGTGCTTTTCGTTGTGTGCATTTCTGGCTTTATTTGGTCTTCTCTTTTTAGACTACATGACATATGCTATTAGCTTTTTAATTTCCTTGACTGCATTACCCCAGGCCCCTCCGCTGTTTAGTTAATGTAATTGTTTAAAAAGCAAAATGGAGGATTTAAACAACTCCTTTGAAAAATGTTTCATTTTTCTCATTCGTCTCCAGTAAAACATGATTTATCTCACCCCTTTAATCCTTTCGACTAGATATCGTCCTTATCTTCCCCTCTTTCTACACCCATGATTGAGCCTGTCTGTTGCCTACATTTATTTACCACTTTATTTATTCATTATACACCATTGGTATGGCCAATGTCCTACACTGTAATACATTTAAAAGAAATAATATAATTGTGATAATCATGAAGAATAACTGGCATAAACTGATAATATACCAACAAACAGATAGAGAAAAAAGAACACTTAGTACCTTTGTGTTGTAAATTTAGAAAGAAACGATGTAGAGTTGTACCGTATTGTCTTCTTTTCCAAGCAGTGCCTATTTTACGAAGTAGCATATGAGGCCCACTTGAGCTCAGACTATCAATATCCATGCATGTCAAAATCAGAAATCAGCTGCTCTCAACTTTCCAGCCCAACCTCCCAGCCAGCTCTTCCTCAATTTTCTCCCCTCCCTACCTCACATGCCAAGCAGGAGCTGCATCTGTTACAGGAGATCAGTCATGTCCAGAAATAGCAAAACAGAATGCTCAGATAGCACATATCCAAAGATAGAACCTAACTCAACCCCCCACAGCTGGGTCACATTCCGCTCTCTACTTTTAATTGTCAAAGCAGGAGTTTGGCCTCCATATCACTAACTAACTGGGCTTTCCATCACTATCTTGCTTATCTCACAGATTAAATAAATGTTAATGATCCTATGGAGGGAATGTGTTTCTGGGGTAAAGTGATGCAATTGTCGGGCTAAGTAGTACATGTTAAGCTATCATTTGAAACTTCCTGTTGGTTTCCATGGCGATTGCATCACTACTTTGTTCAATAAGTGTTTATAGTACCAGTCATAAATCAGTTTGAAGCACCCTGGAATAAAAGAACGTTTTTCGAACATTTTGACATGTGCCAGCAATTTGGTTACATGTGTTACAATTTGTATTCTTAAAAAGTAAGTAGAAATATTTCTGAGAATTAATTATAACCAAGACAATTTTGTGGTGATTATTTACTAAACTAAAAATTAAAAAGAACTGAAAAGAAGATCACACATTTTATGCCAAAACATTCAAACAGGAAAATGTGAAAATCTGTCATCAAATCACCATGATTTATTTAAAAAGTAAACCCTAACTCGGTCCTTCTAGTTAAAATAAATTAATGGAAACAAAAGTTCTCCACCAACTGTAAGTCTGTTTCTAATCACAAACTTAATGCAAGATATTTTAATTACAATTATTGTATCTGTGAACTAAACAATTCCAGTTTATTTAAATAAAGGAGAGTACCACTGCAAGGGCATACTTACTGACTATATATGGATGATGACTTACAACTACACAGAAGCCAATAAAATAGTAAGAACGGTATTTTAAAAGCCTGTATAAATAAATACAATGATTAATTGTATAAAAATCAGCGTGGAATTTTCTCAATTAAAATCAATTACTCATCAGGACATACTTCAGGTCTAAAGTAATCAATGCTACAAACAAACACATTTTTAACACAGAACAGACTGAATAACTTTGAACTAGGGAAAGTTATCATCTTCGATGACTATCACATATTTTTTACACGTTATACAGGTAGGATGACAAGTCCCTCAACATAGAAAGTCATTTCCCAGATGAATGTACGATTAATACATTAAAATTTCAATTTTAGGGAATTGTGATGGGAATTGCAATTTTGAAGCAAAATTATTAAACGAGTAATACTTTCAGTTGAGTTATTTTTTTCAGCCCAAGTATTTAGGCCTAAAATAGCCAGTTCCCTGTTCAATTCTCCACATATCCCAATTTAGTGGATAAGCCCCTTCATAGTACAAGTGGTAAACATGGTCATATTTAATTGAAAGCTTATATTTTCTCAATACATTAACTAAACATTGTATCAAAACTCAAAGTGTTTTTATCAAGTTTCAAATATGCTCTTGAAATATATAATTAGAATACATTGCCATTTCCACCTGCTACATTTTGTTAAATAATATGAAGGCTCTGAATCCAAGACAACGCAAGCCTTTTTCTATAATAACAGACCATAAAGGATGTGTGTAACGTGTCTTACCCTCCTAGCTCAGATGTGGTCTCAAGCTGTGATCTTAGGAGAACAGAAGCACAGCTACCTCCAAAGGTCCAGTCAGATGATAAAACCGAGGATTCACACCCGGGATCACCACAGACACCTGGCAGCTCCCGTCAGTACTGATCTATGACTTAAACCTTTCCTTTCACATTGAGAAGAGAACTAAACACATGGATGCTGATCCTTAAAACTGACTCCACCTGCCCCTGGGATCACCACCTCCAGGGAGGGATTACTTCTACACTAAATTTGACAGAGAATAACACAGACAAGGAAAACATTAAACTTAATCTCTGGTTAAAGGGTTACTATAACACTTTTCAGAGTGGGTCCTTTCTGGTGAAATATGCCCTGTTGGGCACTGTGGAGAATGCCCCCCCTCTCAATTCAAAGTAAAATGCAAAAAAAGGTTTTACTTACCTGAAATCCAGTGCCAGGTGAATCTCCCAGCGCTGCTCTTCTGTGGCTCCTTCTGACGTCACTGAAACACTGCACATACTGACTCCAATGACCATGACCACTTCAATTCACTGAAGTGGTCATGGTGGTTGGAGTAACCCTTTAATATCCAACTAAGAATCAGTTCTGACTGCTGTTGTCTATCCTGCTAAAATATCCAGACCAATGCTGGTGAGCAGGTAGCTCTCCAGCTCCAGGATCATGAAAGGCATAACTGTGGGTTATTGACTAAGGCCTCAAATACAATCCTGCCAATCACTGCAAATTGTTGGCTCCCAATAAGTCATTTAACTGTTCATATAAATTTTATTATAGCAGTCATAGGCGTATCAGGAGCCAAAAACTGTTGGTTTGTACATTGAATCCTAAGCCTATATTTGAGATTGAAAATATAGGCTTCAGCTATTCATTTCCATTTAACAGTCACATAGTACCTATCGGTCTAGAGAGCCAAAAGATGTTTAAACCTCTCTTATACGCCCACTCGCACTGGGTAGGGGTATGTCTACTAAGCAACAAGCAGCAAGTGGCACCACAGTAGGTCTGTTAATAATTAATAAAGCAGGTAGGACACAGTGTCCCCCCATGGCCATTGCGTGGGAGCTATGAAATAAGATGAATGGGAGGGACTTAGTGTTCCTCAAATCCAAACCCACGAGCTGTGGGTGGGGGCTCAAAATATAAAAACCCCATGGGTGGGCTAATGTCCTTCTAGCTCCCCCCATTAACGGTGGTTGGAGGCTGTAATAATATTAATAACACAGGGTGCACCTACTGTGCCCCCTAACCCCTACCCATTGGAGGTGGGTTGCCATTTTCCAACCAAGGAATGTTTCAGTCAAGGAGTGCTCCATGTGGCTAGGTGACCCAGGTCCCTAGCTATCTCTCCAAATCCCCAATACATCTAACACCTGGAGGGTAATCCAACCAGAATGCTCTAACAGCAGGGCCGGACTGGGAATTAAAAGCAGGCCTGGAAAAAAAATATTTACCAGCCCCATAATGCGTTGCGCCAGCATAGTGTGCAGATACAGAGTTAGAAAAGAGAACTTAAAATTAAAAATTATTACTCCAACGTAAAAAAAAAAGCGCACTCATAGGCTTTAAAATAAACAAAAGTGCAGATTTATTTTAAGCAGACGTGCCTTTGCATGTAATCAATGTTTCAGTCCAACTACCTTGACATATTAAGGAAAGCTTGTTAATGGGACTGAAATGGTGAATGTACGTAGGGCACAACTGTAAAAAAATGACGTTATCTTGTTTATTTTGAAGTCCTGTGGGTGCGCTCTTCACTTTAAATATGTTATTGTGATGGAGTCTGCATCTAGCAACAAGACTGGGACAATATCTGCTCATTACAAATGGTACATATTAATGACATTTATCTGTGTATTATGCATATATAAATGTACATTAATATATGTGTAAATATAATAGGTATACATATATATATATATATAAATAAATAAAACTAATACACATTAATATACATGTCATATACCAGTGGTGGATCCAGAGCCTGATCCCGGGAGGGGCACTTGTAGATTATTTAAAGAAATTATCCATGCACAATAACCACTACTGCTTTCTGTAGTGGTTATGGTGCCAGGAGTGCCGGGACCCCCTCCCAGAGTAAGTAGTCAAACCGTTTAAGAACAGTTTGACAACTTATCTGGGGTCTGCTGGGATATGGGGCTGTAGTAGGGTATAGGAGCAGTGGTGCAATGTGTGAGGGGTGCAGTGTGTGTGAAAGGTTCAGTGTATGTGTGTGAGGGGGGTGTAGTGTGTGAATGTGTAGGGTGTGTGGGGCAATGTGTGTATGTGGCAATGTGTGTATGGGGGGCAGTGTGTGAATATGTATGGTGTGTGTGGGGGCAGTGTGTGCCGCACGGTGCCTGTGGAACGGGGAGGGAGATTGGCTGGCAGGGGAGAGCCTCGTGGGGGGGGGAATTGCCCTGTTGCCTTGTGCGTCTCTCTCCTTTCCCCCTCTGCCTCTTTCTCCCCCTCTCCTTGTGTGTCTCTCTCCTTCCCCCTCTGCCTCTTTCTCCCCCTTCCCTTGTGCGACTCTCTCCTTTCCCCCTCTGTCTCTTTCTCCCCCTCCCCTTGTGCGTCTCTCTCCTTTCCCCCTCTGCCTCTTTCTCCCCCTCCCCTTGTGTGTCTCTCTCCTTTCCCCCTCTGTCTCTTTCTCCCCCTCCCCTTGTGTATCTCTATCCTTTCCCCCTGTCTCTTTCTCCCCCTTCCCTTGTGTGTCTCTATCCTTTCCCCCTGTCTCTTTCTCCCCCTCCCCTTGTGTGTCTCTATCCTTTCCCCCTGTCTCTTTCTCCCCCTCCCCTTGTGTGTCTCTATCCTTTCCCCGTCTCTTTCTCCCCTCCCCTTGATATATAACACTGTCTCTTTTTCTCCCCCTCCTTGTGTGTCTCTTTCTCCCCCCTCCTTGTGTGTCTCTATCCTCTCCCTGTCTCTTTTCTCCCCCTCTTCTTGTGTGTCTCTTCCTCCCCCTCCTTGTGTGTCCTCCTATCCTCTCCCTGTCTCTTTCTCCCCCTCACTGTGTACCATCCTCTCCCCCTGTCTCTCCCCACATCTCTCTCTCCCCTTTGTCTCTCTTTCCCCCCCTCTGTTTGCATATCCCCCTCCCTTGTGTCTTTGTTCCCCATCTTCCCCTCCCATTTACCTGAGAGGAGTCAGGGGGCCAGCTGCATTTCACTCTGGAGCCACCGGGCCGGATGGCAGCCTCACCGGTCCGGCGGCCCTCTTCCGGTCACTGATGCTGAGGAGTGAAGGAGGAGGAGGGAGCAGCATGTCTCTGTACCATGCTCCCTCGCGGCTCCCACAATCCCCAGCACAGGAACCGCGAGGGAGCATGGTAGAGAAACATGCTCCTCCCTCCTCCTCCTTCACTCCTCAGCATCAGTGACCGGAGGAGGGCCGCCGGACCGGTGAGGCTGCCATCCGGCCCGGCGGCTCCAGAGTGGAATGCAGCCGCCAGCCCACCGGCCCCCTCACAGTGTGTGCCACCGGACCGGCCACCCGGTGGCACACACATACTCAGCGCAGTCCCCAGGTGCCGCGGCCCACCGGGAAATTTCCCTAACTTCTCTTGATGGTTTTGGGGGTTAGGATTAGGGCTAAGGTTGCTTTAAACTCATGGCAGCACAGGGTTATAAATGTCCCGCTCTGCCAGAGATTAGTGGAAGTTACAATCCTGGGAAGCAGCTACCACCATTAATTCAGTCCCTCTCCTGATAATAATATATTGAGAGAGGAACAGCAGAGACCGTTTCTTTTCCAACATTCATTGCATATTCATATTACATAAGTTCTCTGCACACCGGGGTTAAATACTGTTCACAAAAAAATATATATATTTGTATGCAGATGTTCTGTCAAAATTACATAACCGTCAGGTTTCCACACCCTAGGTCATGTCCGGTGACGCGAATCGGCTGTTCCTTGTGCTGCACATGTGTACTAGCACTCTTGACGGGTACTGAAATCTGACGGACGCTGGGAACATGCGCGAGTTAACGATGATGGGAAACACGCACATGCTTCCAGCCTTAGTCAGATTTCCATACCCGTCAGAAGTGCTAGCACTCATGTGCAGCACAAGTAACAGCTGATCCGCATCACCGGGCGTGACCTTTGGTATGGAAATATGATGGGTATACAATTTTGACAGAACACCGACTTTAATGTCTCTTGGACTTACTCTCACTTGCTTACAAATTCTTTACTTTCACTTGAGTTTCACTTGAGAAGGGATTGTGATGCATTACCTTAACGTATCACCATCCCTTCTCTGTTATATGTTTCTACTCTTCTCCCACCCTCTCTCAGTTTTGAGGCTCTCCATCAAGTTTATGTCTCCCAATTAGTTTTGTGATTCTAAATGTATTCTTCCACTCTAACCCTAATATCTCTCCCCTCACTATAGCTCTGGAATGTGTTCGGGGGTGTCAAGATCAAGAGAGGGATATTATTATTATTATTATTATTATTATTATTTATAAGGTGCCAATAGATGCCACATTACTTTATAACAGGTAGACTAAAAAAAACCATTGAAACAAGACAACCTGGACATACTGGAACAGAAGATGCTGAAGGCTCTGGTTAAATCACGTTCTAAGGGGGTGGGCTAAAATGACACAAGAGGTATGGGTATAGCTATTTAATCTATGGGAAAAGTAAGTTGCTAGTATTGTTTACAATAAAGTCTTAGCTTTATAGAGAACACAGTTGCAGAAGAGGAAGCAACTTGGATTGGTGAGATATGTGGAGGAAAAGATCTTTCATATAGGTTAATTGGTGTACTTTCTGCAAAGAATGAGCTTTTATTGATTCTTTGAAGGAATAGAGACTGGATGAGAGTCTAATGCAACAGGGAAGGGAGGTTCTTAGGGATGGTGGAGTCCTACATGAGAAAATGAGAAGCATACTGCATTAGTCAAGGCAGGAGATGTTAGTTGCATCCGATGGCAAATGCAAGCTATGTTTTTAAGATGAAAGTGACATGAGTCAGTGATAAACTGGATGTGAGGAGTGAATGAGAGTTTGGCATCGAAGGGAACGCCAAGGCAGTGAATCCATGAGTTAGAGTTGATGGTAGTGCGGTACACTTAGAGGGAGACATGAGAGTAGTTATGGTTAAAGGGTCAAAGAAATGAGAGATTGAGTTTAAGGACGTGAGCTGCCATCCATTTAGAAATAGCAGACAGGCAGCTGGAGACACAATTCAAAAGTGAAAGCTCAGGAGAACACCGATATAT